CGCGTGGCGACGGCAGACCGGCCTGCGGCGGCCGGAGACCCGCACGAGACGGGGCTGCCGGTCGGAAAGGAAAGTCCCCACGAGCGTTTGCCTGTTAGCCAGAGAGCGGCCGAGCCAGAAGCGTGTCGCGCTTGTCTTGTCGGGCCGCCGCTCCAGGCGAGGCCCTGAGAGCCCTCTCTGTGTGCTGTTGCCGTGCCGGCGCCGCGCGTGCTGACGTGTTTGCTTTGTTGCAGTAGTGCCGTCCAGCCCCACCATGGCAGCCTCTTCGGTCACCCTCCCTTCAAACTGTAGCGGCACACACAGCATTTTCTCATTCTCACCTGCCAATGTCATCTCTGCAGTGAAACAAAAGAGCGCCTTCGCGCCCGTGGTCCGGCCCCAAGCTTCTCCTCCTCCCTCCTGCACCAGCGCCAACGGGAACGGACTGCAAGGTGAGGGGCGGCGCACCGGCCCCAGGGCTCGCCGAGCGCAGGCGGAACTCTCCCTACCTCCCCCCAACAGCCACCCCACCCTGAGGGCAGGCCAGGCTGCACCGTGGGGTGCGAGCTCCAGCCCTCCTCCGGGTCCTCGCCCCTGCCGTGGCCCATGCATGCTTCCCCCCACCCCACCACTGAGCCGCATTGCGAGCCACCCCCCCCTTCCAGTAGCCACGTGAAGGACTCCCCACCACCCCACCCCGGGGCTCACCCCCACCAGTAACAGTCTCGCTGGTAAAAACCGTTGCCTCCTGCTTCCAACCTCACCCCCGTGTCCTCCCCTCAGGAAGGGGACCTGCCGGGGCACTGGGCAGAGGCAGCGGGGGGCACGGTGGGGTGGCCCTGTCCCGACCACTCAGCAGACGGGCCTTCACGGCCGCGGCTCAGCCGGGAGAGCAGGGAGCACCCACCGGCGGCATCGGCGCTGGCGGCCTCCTTGCTCCCAGGCAGCAGAGTGGCCTTGGGGTGGGGATGGTGGGTCATTGTGCCACCTGCGGAGCCTGGTGCAAAGCCAGCGCACACTCCACGTCCTGAGGCGGAGCCACCTTCTCAGCCTGTAGAGCAGACCCTGCCCCGCCGGGCTGTGCTGTGCTCGGAAAGGGCTGCGCCCAGCCTGGGGCCGTGCATGCGTGAACACTGGGTGGGAGCCGGCTCCTCTGAGTCCTCTCCCTCGCACACTGAGGAGGGAGCAGGGCTGGCCCCGAGGGCAGGGGGAGGCACCCTGCGGACGCAGCTGCCCCCAGATGGGGCCACGTGGAGCAGGCTCCGGGTGCCGGCCCAGAGCCGCGTCCCTCTGGGCCGCATAGGCCGCCCTGTGAGGTGTGCGGCAGCCGGGCCACGTGTGTGCCCCTAGGCCTCGCGATCTTCTGCGTGGCTCTTTGTGACTCACGGGGGCCACAGGCACTGAGTTAAGTGGCCGTCGTCTGGCCTCTTTCAGACATCACCTTTGGTATATGCTCCTCCCGGTGAAAATCAAATCCAGTTACTCCTTTAAAAAAATGAATCCATTCAACCAGTATTTACTGAGCGCCTACTATGTGCCAGGCTCTCTGCTGGGTGCTGAGGACGTTACCGTGGAGAAGACAAACTGGCCCTTTTGTGAAGTCGGTGGCATATTTCACTTTGATGAACTAATGCTCAAAAAAGGAACTGGAAAGGTACCCGTGATTTGAAATAATTGTCTTCCCAACAGCTTAGCATATGAGAGGGACGCCCGGGCCCCGGGTGCCGCCGACCGGCCTGCAGGCCCGCCGCGGCCCCCAGCCCAGAGCTTCTCGCGAAGCAGGGGGCCAGGGGCCATGGCCCGGCCACCGTCCGCATGGCGCGGAGGCCCCCGGGAGGACGGCACCGCCCGGGCGGTGTGTACCCACACGGGTCTGCCAAAACCCTAATGTTGTAACGGTGAGTCGGAGAGGAATTAAGGCTGTAGAAATTAATGAACTGGGAAATTGAAGCTCGCATCACTACGTGAACAAATGTATTAATATGTTATACATAAATTAATGAGAACGATCGTTCTGACCAAAATTAAACAACACCGAAAAGACGTAAATTCTACTCGTACCAGGAGTTCACTGGAAAGCGTCCGCTGCACTTGGCATTTTAGCACCAAGTTTCTTACTCCGAGAGGAGCAGAGAGAGCTCCCTGACATGGGGCTGTCACTTGGGTCTCTTCGGGGCCTTGGCCTTGAGGTGGCAGGGCAGGTGGGCTGGGAGCGGCTTTGCTCCCAGGGCGCCCGCGACTCACCATTACGATACCGCACAGTCCACAGGAGGTCCGAGGCAAGGGCTGAGAGCGGAGGGGAAACTGAGGCGCCCCGGTTTTCACGGAGGGAGTGAGCCTGGCGCCCGGGTCCCAGTGGGGCTGCGGGCCGGCCCTGGCTGGCGTCACAGACGTGACCAGGTTGGTTCACGTCTCTGGACAGAGGTGGCCTCTGGGGAGTCTGGGCCTCCGTCTGCTGTGAACGAGCCACTGAGACCTGTGGGAAGGGGCGGCCTCGCCCAGGAGAAGCCCTTCCAGTGAAGTCCTGGAGGAGGGCTGCCGCATGAGGGGTCGCGGGTGGGGGGTGTCTGTCCCCACACGTACCCAGCTCCCGTGAAGTAGAGGCCCCCTGCCCCCCGCGCCTGGACCGAGCCCATGGCTGGTTGGCGGGCGCGGCGCACGCCCCACAGCACCGTTGAGTCAAGCCCCAGGCGGAGGCCGGCCCGGCCCGCGAGGGGGGCAGCCAGTAACCCGCGGCTCTCTCTCTTTCAGCTATGTCTGGGCTGGTAGTCCCGCCCATGTGAGCGGCCCGCTCGCCCTTCCGCAGCACCCAGCACCCAGCACCCAAGGACGGACTTCAGGGGACACGTTTAGTCCAGGAGAGCTGCGGCGGGAGCCAGTGTCCGCACGCGCATCGGCCACGGCGGAAACGCTACAAGAGACTTTGTTTAAAGATTTTATTTAAACTATTAAGAATCAACATGCAAACAAGCCTACTTCTTCATGAACAATTCCATTTTATTGACTGAACTTTTCTCATATTTTCACATTTCTCAGTCCCGAAGACTAAGGAGAACAAAGCGACGCCTATTTTGTATAAAGTTTCCGACTCCGTCTTGGCTATGTCTAGTACTTGCTATGTGTTGGGAGAAACTTTGTGAATGCACCATTTTGATTATCATGAAACACTGATGAGAAATGCCTCCAGACATTTTTCTGTACTCATACTTAGACTCACAATGGTTGTGTATCTCTAGAATGTGAAATATTTTTTTGTGGTGAAAAAAAGGGGCCAAGGAGGTGTGAGCCATCGAACTGGAAGAAAGGAGGACTATGTGACTAGGAGAATTCGGGGTGGCAGGGAGGGAGGG